AAATTAACTAAGCTAAAAACAAAAGTCGAATATTAATGAGATTAGCTAACAGAGAGTTTTGGTTAGTTAATATCTATATATACAAATATAGATATATCTTTTTATGGGATCGATATCTAAAGAGTTCTTACTAAAAGCATTATTTATTTACTTTTCTTTAAATCATACTCTCAACGTGAAATCTAGTGGAGTCTACTGGTTACATCTATATGGATGTGATTATATAAATGAATGTTGAAACAAGATAATTTCATAGTATTTGTTGACTATCATTTATCTACTAGCTGAATTTCACTGTTTGTAGATTAGTTATTTTTTCTCTGATTGATCATTAAATTACCAAATTTAACGATTTAGTGTCGTGTTACATATATCAGTCAAAAATCATCGAGGTAGAGGCTGATATGGGTGTATGTTGTCATACCAAAATAATACAAGATGAAGTTGACATGGTGAATAACAAAAAAGATTGAAATGAGTTAGTAGCGGTAGCAATAAGAATAAACATTAGTAATATCCTTTAAGACAGTTTGTAAAATATTTATGAGGGAATAATCTAATTCGAAGGGAGATTTTAGAGAGAATGAATCAGGTCCATATGTAACTATTTATGAGCTATGTCACTTAAAGTCCGCAACCGTTAAATCCCAAATATTTCCTTGATCGTAACCGGGTAGTTTGAATCTATGTACACAACAGAGACTAACATTTAATAATTTATAAAACTGAGACCCCATCTTTGATCCACTGTTTTATCTTCAATAGATGCTCCGAAGACACTTTTAATCAAAGATCTATTACCATCACATGCCTTTCTTCTCTCAAAGACAACGATAAAGTAATGCAGGGAGAACTGTTGAATCATATAAACGCCTTTTTTTTAAAGACGGATATGTCACGCTGCAAGTGACGTTAGGTTGAAAAGCTAACTGAGCTTTCTGAATTCATGTCATGATTTCTTTGCAAACAAAGGTACTAAGAGTGGTGGGATATACATTAACAGGAAGAAGCACAATTCAAACACTCTAGAATTGTCGCGCAAGACGATCGAAATACTCAGCTTTGAGTAAGCATCCCCATTAAATAGGAATATATCTACGTATTTTAAACTTGAAAGCAAATCTCCTGGCAAAAATCAACTCATTGAAAAGTTAGACTGATTACCTGTAGCAATAGATAAACATGTACTAATTTCAATTTCTATATAATGAATAGATTCATTCCTAAGTAACGCTCATCACATACTAACCATTCAATTGAAGAACGTTTGAAAAACCGAAAAAATCCATAAATATTTTTTGATCTACTCATGGACTAATCAAGTTACAAATCGTATGTAAACTATTTCACAAAAAAGTAACTATTTATAAGAAACATTCGTTTCTACCATTTTTCAGTATTTCATTTATATTCATTGGTATAACAAATAGCGACTTGAAGTAAATAAACCATTCAGTATAGTTTAGGTTTCGATGGTTGTATAATAACTATGACCACGTACATGTGAATACCGCCTTTATTAAATCACTGAAAGCCCCCATACACAGCCAAGAGTGGAGAGTCCGCTCTCTCCCACCAAATGCTCTCACATAGTCACATGCATCCAACCACTAACAGGGAAGTCCTACTCAATGCTCTCGCGCACCAGTGATGTTGTTTACGAAATTGAGAGGACGAAAACTGAATGTCCGGCACTTTAACTGACTTGATGTACATGGAGAGTCCACCTAAGGGAGTTGGAAAGCCCTGATTTCAAGCCAATGGTGCACATGAGATCCATGATCCTGAAGGAACAAATGGCGTATGAACCTATCATTGGTCACCTGCTACCATGTGACTACATCTCCTGACGTTGCTCCACTACCTTGTAGATGGACCTTTAAACTGAAGGCTCATGGTATGGCCTCCTAAGAAATTCACCTGCCTCGGTTTAAACACCCGAACAGTATCCTAGCCCTCACACAAATCGGATGATCTATGTAGCGCATATCTATTTGATGCCTCCTTGTACCAATATTTGTTTAAATAATAAATCACTGATTGTACCGATAGAATAAAACGGACTCAATATTTTTCATCATGAGGCAAGTTATTTTTGCTAATAAAAATGCCAATAACATATTCCATGTATTTCTAGTAATGAATAAGGGATATAAAAAAACAATACTTAATTTTGTACTTCATACAATATAAATATAAAAGATCACTCTGTCTTATGCACAAGTGAGAACAATAGGAATCATCATTCTATTGACTAATTGAATGAATACATAAACAGGAATTTTATAATTTCTTCATGTATCACAGTGGTTTGGTTGTTGTTGGTATAATTCCCAGTACCATCTATTCAATCTTTTAATCAATGAATCAATGTATAGTCATTAGAATAAAAAATCTTGGTGAAAAAATAACTTTTTTCCATCTAAATTCTGAAGTAAACAATTAGAAACTTGTTATAACATGCTGATCTATTAAATCTAATGTATATTAGTATGAGTAGTTTTGGTAAAAGAAATGGGTAAATATTTAATTATCAATGTGTGTGTGTGTGTGTCTGTGTGTAGTTTTTTGTTTCTTGGAGAATAATCACGATCAATATGTTCAACATTTTCCTTTTAAAGTTTATTTCAGTCATTTCTTTCTCTTTTGATTTATTTAGGCTACTGAATATATTCATTGTATGTGAAAATTATATTTGAAATATTCTCAACGATTGAAATTTAACTAATTCCAACGTTTCGTCCAGATAACTTGTCTGGCTTCTTCAGGGTAATAATCAAAATCAAAATTATATTCATAATGGTTTATTATGAATATGTTCAATATTAGTTTAACTCAAACTTATATTCAACTAAACTCTAATCATTTATAGAAGGATACAATATTGCCAATAAGGAACATTAAAAAGTTTAGGAATATTATTGAAATTTAATAGGGCAGTAATTATTAAATTACTAAAAAGTTTTACATTCAACTAATAGGCTTTATGTTCTAACTTTTATTTCGTTCTACTTCAGAACTACGGAAAAGTGAACAAAGCTGAGACTAATTGTCAGGTGCTAATAGGATTTTTTAGGGGGGGTACGATGTACTCCCATTTAAATGATTGTTGGATATAAGTCGAACGAGTTCAGTTTCATCAGTCAATTTTTGCTATCTCTTTGTAATGCACTAGTTATAAATTTTTTTAAATACTTGTAGATTTTTTGATTATATGAGGCATCGTATGCTCCTAGGTATTTGGAGTTTGTAATACAAATTATATACGCGTTACTATTAGACTGACGTTTCCAGTATGGTATATTAGCTATCTTAGACAGTTGACAAATCTAACAGTGTACTACACAAGGCGGCCTGCTTGAATATTTGAGCTACCTGTTTCTGCCATTCAGATATTACATCATGTTATCTATTTTCTTGTTTGTTTTAACAGATCATTATGCCTATTAATCGCATAACCTATTCAGGTGTGAAAAGTTTACGACCTTTCGCTGTACAAGTTACAAAAGAGCCCAATCAGAGACATCGTGGTTGCTGACAGTTGACATCGAAAAAGGATATACATTAATCAGATGTCTATTCCTGAACTGATAACATCCAACTGGCGACCACTCAATATTTATCGCAAAGGTCGATTTGCTATATTGTACCAAAAATAGAATATTGAATAAAGCCACTAATAGTAATAATGATAAAATAATAATTATGTTTATATATTTACAGTTTCTCATAATTATAAAGTTCAACTTATTAATAACTGAGGTATTCTGATTGATCCCAATTGAAAAATAATGTATTATTCAAATCAATTATATAAAATGATTTTAAACTATAGAACCTGAATTGAAATCAAATTAGCCTAATGAACTTTGTTTTTTTCTTCAAAGAATATATAACATATTTATTCAATATTCATAGGTTCAATATGTGAAATAGTAGCTAAGGTTTACAACCATGATCAAATAGTATTCACTTGGTATTGTTTGGTTTGTATCTTCCCATTGAGGTTTAAGACTGCAATTGATCAGTCTGCGTATGTGCATACTGTGCGTATGTCTCGATATTACCTTAATTCACAAGCTATTTGTAAGCAATGATGATAATAATAATAATAATAATAATAATAATAATAATAATAATTACTATTATTATTATTATTATTATTATTATTATTATTATTATCAAAGTCCATAGTTTGGAATCATTTACATAAAACTGTATTGTACAAGAAATAATGTAAAAACGTTCTATAGTTAATGAGTTGTGGGAGAATGTAGTATCTATTATATATTTGTACCATGGTTCTTATTTTCATATGACATCGTAATGGCATTATGAAATTATGGAGACAAATAGCAGAGTGATAAAAGTAATAACAGGCATAGTATCAAACATGATAATAAGTTGAAAGAGGAATTCATGGAATAAAACGTCTAAAATGATTTTGAAAATTAAAGTCTAAGGAAAGACAAAGGTATGATTGTATTTGGGCTGTTGTAATCGATTGTGACCCATCTCATCTAACATCTCTAGCAATTGATTACGATAAATAGTATAATCCAGATCGTCTAGTTTACACCAACCTAGATAATTCAGTTCAGCAAGTAGTGACAATGTTGGACATCATGTATTGTGAACAACTATATACTAGGATACAATTATATCCATTTCACGAGTCCCAAATAACATGAAATTGCCTTTTTCGATGTACCTACTATGTTCAATTTAACTATATGAATGATTTACGAGCTGTTTTTTTTGCATTATAAACTGTCACCAACTAGAGTAGTATAATATACCAAAAACCATTATTCTTGGGTCGTTTGACATTCTTCAACTATGTACAATCACAATTTCAGTCACCCAAGTTCTCTTACTATAGCTTCAACTGCCTTTTCATCATAAGAACTACACAATTCAACCGAACTTAACAGTTATATGTTTTAAAAGAAAAAAATGACAATTACTTTTTAAAAAATACATAGAATACACTAACTCACTTGATATTTGTTCCATGATGATGTATTGAAGTTGTTGTGTAATCATGTCCACAAGTTATTGTCTCCATGATACAATCACGTCTTTTATCAGTCATTAAAACAAGTGTAATAGTGTAATAAGTCAATTACTTATAGTATTAACAAGATTATTATACGTAATAATGATTATGATAATAATGTTTGTTCCGTTGAGATCCACACACACAGAATTAATACATTAATAAACAAGATGTAGAAGAAGAGATTTTATTGAATGTTAATTCAAATGTGGAATGATTGAAACCAGAACTCTTTGGATCAGAAATGTTTATATATACAATAAATAAGTGAATACAATGTCTGGTTGGTTAGCTTTTAATGAAACAAAAATTTCTATCTAAAGCAGTTTTATTAATAGATAAATACACAAACAAATACACACACACAACATACTTACATACATACACCATTTGATCTCAAGAAATAAATGGAATGATTATTATGATTATTTGTTGCCTATAAACATCTATGTTACTTTTGTGTGTTAGTTATTATTTTGGTTTGTGTATCTATCTATCTATCCATATATGTATATTTGAATTTGCTTATGGGGGCGGTTAGTAGGGTTGAATATAATATAGTTTTAAAATTCTCAAGTTGGATTGGTTTTTCTGATTTTTAAGATAATTGTGCTTAAAATGTGCTAACAACAAATATCAACTTTTTATAAATATATATGAACTGGATTGTACAGGCAATATATATTTTATCCAATTTATGATCGTCTGTTTGTCTCTTAGATAAGGAGTTTGAATTATATATGTGTATTCATCTATTTACTATTCATGTGTGCTTCTGTGTATAGCATGCATGTATGTGTGTGTGTTTATTTCAAATCAAGGAAATATACATAATGGAACTAATTTGAACACCCTAGGATCATATCATCTCATATACAACACATACATACACACTTAATATTTCACTTCAATTTATTACCATTAATATTAGTTACCAAATCAAAAAGAAGCTTTATCATCTATTTTTACTTACGAAGGGGTTTTTATTGTTAATAGATTAATGAGAGGAAATGTTATTTCACACTTCTTTTTTTTTAACCAATCATTGAATTGTATTTAAAAAAGAAGGGAGAAAGTGAGAAAATTTTACATTTCTAATGAAATGAAAATCTTATGTTGTTATCTCATTTATGTGACACAATATTAGAATGTATAGATAGAATATGGTTAATTTCATAATCATAGTAGTATAGAAAGAAAATCGATAAAATTATGATATTTTACATTCAGTATGATTTTATCGTGAAGTTTAACCCTGTTAAATGGTGGTGTTTGTGGTGATGATGATGATAATGAAAAGTAATCAGAAAAAACTGTGAATTTGTCAATTGGATTACTAAAAGTATTATCGTTAAGCAAAAACTATGAACGTATCGACATATATAGGTGAAGTATGTTAGGCAGAGATGAATGGTGACTAGCTATGGAACTCAGGACGGGCATACAATCCCAGATTTAGACCTGTCAGCTGGATGTACCATCATTTCAGAGCTCATATTCACTCCAGTATTCGTACCCAGTACCATATGCTTCAAATGTCTATGTTATCCAATTAGCCACTAGTTCATGCGGTTGGGAGAATATTAATTCATTTTTGCATTGACCGTTTGAATTTTCCTATTGACGTTTAGGACTGCAATTGAACAGTCTCGATATTTCTAGTAACTCACAAGCATTATAAACAGAGATGAACGGTAGCTATCAGGGAGACCCAGGATGCGCGTTTTGTTCGGTTTAGTAATTACTGACAATATTGAGTCAGTCCGTGCAGGATTCACACATCAATTACAGTCTTGAACATTAACGGGAAGATTCGACACAATGATTACAAAAATAAATTAAAATGGACGAAGTAATTGTTACAAGAACGATGATAATCTTCAGAAAAATGTGTAGAACTGACAATTCTTAGGGGCCACACTCGGAGCATTTGACCTACAAGACAGTCACATGGTAGCCGGTGACCAAAAACTGGTTCATACTCCACTTGTTCCCTTAGGATGCTGGAGCCCATGTGCACCACTGATTTGGATTCATGTTTTTCCAACTACCGTAGGTGGATCTTCCATATCCACCAAACCGGTTAAGGCGCCAGACATTCGATTTTCGTAAACAACACCCTTGGTGCGAGAAGGCAGTGAGTAGGGCTTCCCTAGTAGTGGCTGTATACACATGGCCATGTGAGAACATTTCGAGAGGGAGAGTCGATTATCTCCACCCTCGGCCGTACCATGGCATTTGTGGGCGCCACAAACTGTACTGAGACGTAACGACAGTACGTTGTTTTCCTCAGGCAACTAGTATCCGCATTTATGTTTCTTTCTAAACAAATGTGTAAATTAAAAATAGTCAACTATAAAAAGACCACACTGCACTTATTGTCCCTTGCTATAAGGCCTAAAATGTACAGTCAACATGTCAAAAGCTGTTCATAAAAAGCAGTATTTGACCGGTCTGAAACAGTTGTGGTAACACTCTCAAGACACTGAAAATACTACTAAAAGAATTTTCCTTTCATGAACCGTACTAAGTAATATCTTTCCAATTTGTAAACAACCAAAATGTCACAAATTTAAACATACCTCTGACAGAACTCGGACTCATCATTCGTATATTCCATATTTTTGCTTTATTTCTAAATATATCTTCTGTTTTTATTCTCAATCCCTGTCCTCTTATATCAACTATTTCCACGTGTGTCACCTGTGTTAACAATATGATTTCATGAAATGTCATTTCAGATTTATTTAAACAGAATTGATGAATTCACGTCGGAGTTTTTATTATTTGAACCCTATCCTAAGTCAGGAAACAAAGATCACTGACTTGCTGGTGTGGGTAATTGGTTATTTCTAAACGTAGAGCAAGCACTTGAAAGGATTCCTGTAGACGATCGCCTATGATCATTTCAAGTAAACGATATGGTGAAGGACTCAGTAAGGCGAACAAGAAAACCGTCGCCTCTTATTTTTCCGCATACGTCTACCATTGAGGGCAGCTAGGGTCGATTAAAAGGTAGGTTTTACAATGAGCTTTCTAACCTCCTTAAGAAAGAAAGGTTCCTAGACATCCTAATTCAGATTAAAGTTATCAATAGTTATCTCTTTTTGTTATGCTCTAGATGTAAAAAGAGATACTGTCTAGTTTAATGACCAATATAACGAATGAACTAAATAGACTATACCACCCTCGAAAATTATTGGAAAAGTTTCGCACCTTCTGGATTTGTCGAAGAGGTTCGTTACAGTTAGATGCTTAACAGATCATAAACTAAAATCTTACCACGACGAAGCTTGAGTTGATTTTCAAATAACTACAACTGTATCAATAACGTCTGTTAGAAACGTAAACCAAAATGTTGTGCAAAATTAGTGGATTTAGGAATCTCCAGTGAACTGATTGGTCCACAGGAGCTCATTCTGGAACGTTCGAAGGATCAAGGAGAGCAATAACTATTCAAGCATAGAGTCGAAGCATTTGCTTAAATATCGTAAGCACGTGTGGAAAACAAATTTAAAAATATGTAAGATGAAGTGATGATAAGTAGCACTAAGCAAATATCAAGAACTTTAGACAAAATGTTAGCTGTTAGAGCAACAAAAGACTGAACTGTGATCCATTTTTAATTCAGAAGATTAGATTGTCGGACAGAATCTTTTAGGAAACAATTTAACTGATCATCAATTGCCCGTTATTTTTAAACAGACAGCAGAAAACCTAAATATTCCTTTCAACTCTTATTAATGTTTAGAAGGCTGTGTGTAACTTGATGGGAGGGAGGACAATATGATTTGATGCGTTAACTCTGAAAACCTTTAAAGTTGGTAGATTAATCTTAGTAGTCAATTTGTCTGGGATACCAGCTAGATTTAGGCAAACACGCTTAATCCCGTGCGACTAGTCTCGATTGTTGATCGCTCCAATTAAGAAAAAGGGCAGATATCCTCTTGTGATAACCACAGGGAAAATAATTCGACCAATATAGTGTCTTTACTCAACCGACCCTTATTTGGTACATGGGAAATATCAGAGCCTGTTTTAAGTTAGACCTAAACGTGGACATATTAATCAAATGTTCTCTCTTCATCAGGTTCTAGAACATAGACATACATACAGATGTCTGACTATAGTTATATTTGTTGATTTGAAGGCACCAGTGGACTCTGCCGACCAAAAGGTTTTTTGCCAGGGCTTTTCATCGAAAGGCATATCGAAGAAGTACACAAACCATGTGAAATATATTTATGATTGCTGCTTATGATGAAGAGTCATCGGTGTTCTTATCTACAAACAGTACCATTAAGGGCGGTTAACTATACCTATCCGTATTTATTTTCTCTATAGATGTCTTCCTACAAATCACATTATCTGAATATTAGTATTCTGAGACTAATCTACTTTCTATAAACTCACTCACTGATGAGAAGTAGGCAAATGATATAGTCCCATTAGGCAAATAAAATGATGAGATTATAGTTCTACAAACACCTTGAGTAACATTATCAACATATTTCAGTGGTATTTCTTTCTCTTTAAATTCAGAATATTTCTTCAGGACTGATATATATCATCATCTAGACTGACAACAGAAAATGAGGCAGCTAAGCGAAGTAACCACTTTAATTATCTCAGAATTCTTACCAATCATGATGTGTTTTTGCTTTACAAAATCGTGTCACAAATTTAGAAACCTCACTAAATTTTTACCAAGTTATGGCACATATCGACTTTAATTGTTTTCTTTCATTTCAAAAAATATCCTAACAATAAATCAGAACCATTCACTGAATCAATCTCTTGTTTGAATGTCTAAATAGGTAAATCCCATTTACGGATAATTAACAATTTTTCCACGTGTAATGACTATGATATGGAGAAGAATCATTAATTAAATTTAATAATAATAATAATAATAATAATAATAATAATAATAATAATAATAATATCCTAAATGGAATTTTTCTGCAATGAATTCAGCCTACAAATCGGACAAATCGGTACGCCCCTGTCTAATTAAAACTATAAAGGTAACGTTGTTAATGAATTATTACAACATGCTCCCGATTTCTCACGATAAATTGTGTTTGGTGGAATTTAGGCATGTCATGAATGAAATTTTCGTCACTGTTGTCTTCGAATAGTCATTTCACTCTATAGCAAACTGACTGAACTTAAGACTGTACCATTGCACAACTACTCATTGGTTTTAATAGGTAAACGTACACCGAGATACTTGAACAGTATGGATTTAATTCGTAGAGATATCATGCGTGTTCACTTCAGAGGAGTCCCATACTAGGTTGAAATAGCTAACTCTGGTTTTCAAATAAAATTTAGTTTGTGATCAATACTACCCACAAATAATAAAAAACTTTGTTTTGTGTTCTTGTTTGTCTATAAAAATGTTGTGTAAAAAATCCACTGATTTTCAAACAATATAACTTTTCTAGCGATAAAACTGAAACTGAACCATTGCCAATTATTACTAATGTAAGCTCCTGAAATATATGAGTCGTTTTGTGGATCACTAATGTAGGAAGGCTATGTGGATGATGGCAAGTCTACTAATGTTGAACGGGTATGGTGTGATCTTTCATCTTACAACAAAATTACACTTTCCAGTTAATACATTGTCTGGCTTATTTTATAGTAATGACCAGGTGAGTTGTCCTTCTTCGTTAACTAGCTAGAATAACTGATGCTACCTGGAATTTCAGTAAACATTGATAAGAACAATAGTTCTTCAATTTTTCTACAGTACATTTCAATCTTTTCCTTTTTTTACATTAAAGTTAATCATCTGATATTGACAAAGACAAAGTGTAAGACCAAGTAAAACAGACTCTTGTTCTATACATACTAAGATTTCAAAATTTTCAAAACACACAACAACAAAAAAAGAAACTGCTAGCCACCATCCATCTTTGCTTATAAAAGCTTGTGAATTATGGCAATATCGAGGCATACACACAGTATGCATATATGCCAATAACGAACTGATCAATTGCAGTCTTAAACCTCAATGGGAAGATACAAGCAAAGCAATACCAAGAGTAGTATTAGTAGTAGTAGTAGTATTAGTAGTATTAGTAGTATTAGTAGTATTAGTAGTATTAGTAGTATTAGTAGTATTAGTAGTATTAGTAGTATTAGTAGTATTAGTAGTATTAGTAGTATTAGTAGTATTAGTAGTATTAGTAGTAGTATTACTTAACATCTTATCATCATTCAATATTTAAATATTACCATAATTCTCTCTATCAAACATTTAACTAATTTGTATCAGTTTTTGCAAATTCTAGTTTTAATGAAGATATTGCTAATTATTGTAAACAAATATATCATTCATTATTAGTAGAATTTCTTCATGTATATAGATATATATGTGTATATTTCATCAATTTTACCAATGTCTCTGTGTCGAATGTATTTGTTTTCTTGTTCGTGTACTTGTGTGTGTGTGTGAATGCATGCATGTGAACGTATAGACATCCGCTAATGAACCGGATATAACTCTTTTATCATTGTACAATTATAACAAAATTAAATTGTATACAAATAGTTTATAGTAATAATCGTAATAGTCATAATAGTATTGATAGTAGTATTAGTACTAGTGGTAACAGCAAAACTGTATGTTTATATACATGTATAATATATATATACATATATGTAAGATTCTTGAATGTTATAATGTAGGCAGGTGCTTTATATACAGTGATTGTCATTATTATTACTATTATTATTATTATTATTATTATTATTCATACCACCGAGATGAAATATTTCATTCACTGTCGATCTTGTAAACAAGCTTGGCTTAGGTGTATAGTGAAAATAGAAAAACAGGTGAAGTTTAAATGATAGTGTAAACACACAAACCGACATACATACAGAGTGTGTGTGTGTGTGTCGGTGATAGAGAGTCAATCATATAAGCACACAAATTATAATAAACATTAACCAGTGACAACTATAAAGTCCCGGAAGAGGTGGTGATAAAAAGAAGACAACACTAATTATAACATTGAACAATCACGATATTAACGACTGTCAAAATCACTGCTCCATTAAAGTTATCATCAACATCAGCATAACAACAACGGTGCCAACAAGAAGGAAGGAACAAAGAGTACATTTATTTCATGAACTAATTAAGATAGAAACTATCTATCTATATATACATAGTTCATTCGACTTTGTTTATTTAATTCTTATCAACACAAAACATTAAATTTCATGTATACATTCATCAATGTTTACATTACAATGTTAATGTGAATTTTCAAATATAAAGATTAATTTTAATTGAAAAAAATAATAATAATTCGAAGCAAAATTTTAATTATTGTTTATTACTTTAGTCACGGTGATTATTGTTATTATGGTGTATATAACTTCAACTTTATTTAAATACTTAGATATATATGTATAACTTCACTGGGGATCGAACTCAAAGTCATGTTCTGAACATCCAAAATGGATAGTTGGACATTCATGAGAAGTATCATACTATGATGAAATAGTTGTCTAGTGCTTTTGGATTCTCAGTGGATAATTGAACTAAATTCGATTCATAATGTAAATTATGAAATTCCACCATTTCTTTAGAACCTTTATGCAGAAAAAGAACAAATATTAAGGTTTTTACTAATTGAATTCATGAATCGATATAAGCTAGACTACCATTGAAAACCTGGAAGCACAGGACGGCCGTTTCGTCTTAATATCGTGGGTTGATTGAAGTTAGATATTAACACCGTTGGATGCCGGCTCAGTGGTCTAACGTTTAAGCGTTCGCGAGTGAGACCAGTTGTCCTGCATTCGACTCTCTGGTGAGAGATCGTGGATGCACACTACTGAAGAGCCCCATACTAAGACGAAACGGCTGTACAGTATTTTCAGGTTTTCAGTGGTGGTCTAGCTCAAGAATTCAACTATTAAAATCACTACAATCTCCACAACGCCCATTCTAATAAAATATTAAGGTATCGTGGAAGTTTTCCCATTTAATAAATATCATTTTGAGAAATGAAACTTTTCAGTGAGTAGTGATGAAATTGCTTATTATCAAGTCGATTAATGTTGACTGAACTTTGTCAATCAATTTTCAGTAGGACTACCAGTTGAAGTGACGTGACATATTGTATATAATATGAAATGCTGGATTATTAGAGGTTGTAACAGTTTACATCTAGAGCGAAAGTACTTTGTATGTTTGTGAGGTGGCAACAGTGAAGGATAACATGTAAAGAGAAAAAACAGAAGAACGAGAAGAGCTATGAGATATCGACTTACTGTATACACGTATAGTACATTTACTTATGATAATGAAAATAACTATGATAGCAGTTAGCAATAACAAGTGTGGGATGAAAAATATTCGACATGCAATTCATCCTATTTTGAATCTGCCAACCTACATATAACTTTTATTCACTGTTCATATTCACACTGAAATTTAAACAAAGTGTTCATTATCTTAATACTAACTCAGCAATATAGGAGCGCTAAATATGATGAAAGATGCATGGGTTTATACTCTACTGCTAGCTACAGCCTAATTGTACGAGGAATTTATAATTCAATGACAACATCAAGGCAGTTCTTACAAGATGACCATATCCCATTATAGATTGATCAACAGGTAGGCTTTAACAACGATGAAGGAGATAGAAAAAATAGAACTTTGTGGATAACTTCATTCAGTCAAATTTGAAATAATTTAAGCATTGTTATTAGTTCGAACGGTTGACTAAAATTAGAACGAGTAATGATTATGAATATTCTTGAAGTGGATAAAACATCCTGAAATTGTATTAATATTGTACTGGATAAGATGTGATTGCACAATATTGAAGAATGTATTTTTTGAATTAGAATTTCTATCGATTAATTTCAATTTTTACACAAAACAGTATCAGTAGGGGTTTTGTGGATATTATAGTAATTTCAATAGTTGAGATCACTAGTTAAATGAAGCTAGACCATCATGGAAAACCACTGATTTCAGGTTTTCTATGGTGGTCTACCTTCAATTGACTCATGATCTCAACTATTGAAGTTACATAAAACAATGTCTTATTTCGATAAGAAAAAATCGATTTCGTTTATTATAAACAATTGATAGATTCTTAAACAACATCAGTCCTTCAAATTAGTTGATTGGCAACTGAATGAAGTCAGTCATATACTAATCGCGTTACTTTTTTCTTAAGACCTAAGTACACATATTTAAACAGAATGATGATCTAGTTTAGTTATCAATGAAAACTACCATACATTTTCTAACTGTAACCGTATCATAGATTCTCGTTTCTGAGTAAAACTTGAACGATTCCAATATTTTTTTAAAAACAAAAACTACTCTAAAAATCTCCTTTCTTCATCTAAGTCGATATTATTTATTTTTATTTATTTGACCACATGAATATTGGTAAAAAGGGGCACCAGATACATATTCGAATGAGAATATGAAGAGATAGAGTACGTAAAGTGTGTATAAAAAAAGGGATAACAATAACGAACAGAAATTAGCGTATGATGGTGAAATAGTAATAATAATGTGAGAAGCAGATGAATTAGTAAAAGTACAACCAAAACGAATTCTTTCAGTTAGATAAGTTACATCTACTTTTTTAGGAATTAAAATATATTTCCATCAGGATCCCCATTGACTTCTATTCTGAGCCATATCTGATAACATCTCTAGCCACTGTGTTGTACCATCTCCAGGACTTCAACTAGAAAGTTGTGATAGACCAACGGAAGCCAGACCTGTACAGTTTTTTTTTCATACCACAACAATCATGTTATACATTGACCACCTCTCCACTTTTTCCAACCAGTCCCAAAATCGGCAAATAATGTATGACATAAAATTCTCTGGGACAACATTCGTAGAATTGAAATCTAAAGTATCATATTTTTACAACACCTTAACTAATTCATGAAACTTACTGTCTTCATTATCATATCTAATAATAACTAACTCAAACTAGATAAGATTAGAGTTTTTTTCTTTTCCTTTTCTTAGATTGCTTTTATCAATCAATCATACATAAGACGAAACTTGTCAATGTTTCTTTTTTGATTCCTTCGTTCGTTCGTTTGTTTGTCCTCTTGTTTGTTTAAAAAATAATAAATAATTTATTCTATTTACACTTCACGTGTTATCTTATACATGTGAAGTCACTATTCAATAGCTTATCATTTTATACTATTACCGTTAAATTTACCCACTGACATATAGGATTCACATGTACACGTGAAATTGCATAATTCAATTCATGATTACGATAAACATTCCATATGTTTAGTTGATATTGAAATTTCTAGATTATACTTTTTAATACTACTTGTATGCGTTCTCCCTCTTTCTCTCTTTCTTTCTTTCTTTCTTTCTTTCTTTCTTTCTTTCTTTCTTTCTCCATCTCTCTCTTCCTCTCTTTCTCTTGATTACTGTTTAATTAATTACGTCATATAGAAAGACAGAGGATACTGAATAACTCAAGTTACCATTGAGTTAATTCATTAGAGAAAAGAAAAACAATGTTTAAAAAAAAAGAGAGAAAAAAGTCATTGATAAATGATAAGAACAATCAATGATGACATATTCAAGACATTCTTTTCTTACATATTGAATAAATTGAATTTTTGTCACGTTTTTTTTTTTAAATCAGAGATTGTCAGTAGTGAATAATATCATACGTTATATCTATCTATTCAAAGTGATTAGGTTAGGTTCATATTATTATTATTGGTAGTATTAGTAGTAGTGCAACAACCTACTATGAGAGAGAACAAACTAAATCTTACCAGAGGAAAAAATCAAGAAGAAGCATTGGAAGTAGATGAGACACACGTTGAAGAAAATATCCAACTGCGTCACAAGGCAAGCCCTCATATGGGATCCTGAAGGTTAAAGGAGGAGAGAAAGACCAAAGAACACATTACGTCGAGAAATGGAGACAGATATGAGAAAAATGGACAAAAATAGGATAGAACTGGAAACAAAGGCTCAGGACAGAGTGTATTGGAGAATGCTGGTCGGTGGATTATGCTCCATTGGGAGTAACAAGCGTAAGTAAGTAGGTAAGTAACTAAGCAAGTAAGTAGTAATACTAGTGGTAGTAGTAGAACATGCCACTTTTTTATAACGTATATACTAACATGCAAACTTCAAACGACAATACATGGTTGAGAACTTTTTTTGTG